TTCTGCTCTCTTCCTCAGTTTGGAGCAGGAGGAAGGAGTGTTTCATGACTGGTCTTTTCCCTTTTCCCCCAATTTGAGGGGAGAGCTGTTTGGCTGGTTTCCCTGGTGCAGCATCCTGCCCTTCCAGAACAGCTGCTGATAGAGATCCAGGCTTTGGGAAAGAAATCGGTCCTTGTCCAGCTTCCACTGCCTCAGGCCTGTGGTATCATCCTTGGTCTGAGCACTCTATGTTTTATACTTCAGGGGAAAAAAAAGTTTGTGAGACCTCTTTTAGTTTTTCAAGCTAAAAAAAATTCCTATTTTCTGTTTGATGTAGGAAAAGGCAGAAAAAAAAATACTGAGCCTGTGGTGGTTAATATCAAATTGTCAGTTTGACCGGTTCTAGAATCATCTAGAGATAAATTTGTGAACTTGATTGTGAAAAAAGGAAAGAATCACAGCTTCACAGAATTAAACAAATGCAGCATAAACAAGTCACACACCTGAAAATGATACTCTCCAACACTACCATGCATTGCAGAATTAATCCTTTTATATATCCTCTTTTGTTCTGAGCCCCACCCCCAGATATGGGATCTCAGCTCTTCATATATCCTTCTAATGTTTAAATGAGGCCGGCTAGACACAACATTTGAATATGTAATCCCTTGACTGGAAACATTGAACCCCACATCTAGGCCACCAAGTTTCTCTCTTCCTTCCTCCTGTTTTGGCTTTCTGATTCAGGTGCTTAGGTAACCAATGGCTCAAAATTGCTGTTTTGTGGAGAACGACCTTGAACTCCTCAACCTTTTTATCCCCCTTCCCACGTACTAGGATCACAGGCTTGTACAACTCCATAGGGTTTGTGAAACTTTTCTCAGGTTCACTTGGAACGAAATTGAAGGTTATGTCAAATGACAATATTTACAAGACATTCTTGAAGTATTCCTGTGATATACTCCGTGATTATGTATGTCATTTATGCACCAGATTTCATTAAAGAAAAACAGTTAAGTGAGTTTAGCCCAAGTTGTCAAATTCTGAGAGTTCTAACATCCAAGAGCTACTTACCCTCCTCCCACACCCTGCCTACGCGCAACGCCATGTGAAAAACTACACTTCCCAGGAACCTCTCCCCAGTGAAGCGCAAGGCAAGATGGGAAGGGCTGCTGGATGAACAACCGTCCTATTGGTGCGTAAACCAAAAGGCCGCCTAAGCTAGCAAGCGATTGGTAGGATTTTGTCGACGCTCGCTGATTTGAGTTGTTTTTCGGTTGCGTTGTCGGATGCCGAGGATTAGTGTTTGGTGAGTGTGGATTTTGGGATAAAGGTGAAGGGATTTTAGGACAGACGTTGGGAAGAAAGAAAACCTAGTGGGATAAAAGCCTTCGTAATCAGTGCGGAAGGGAACAACAGAAGACTAAACCTGGGCTCCTTAGGTGAATTGGGGACCAGTCATGGAAAGTTTGTCTGCAAAAGGAGAGGTCTCTGGGACGCGGAGAGCTTTAATAATGAGGGAGCTAAGATCTGGTTAAAAACTGAGTGAATTTGCAAGAGAACAGACGTCCTGAAGACAGACTGAGTTCCGGTTCCCCTTCCCTCCCGCTTCAGTAGGCTTCGATTTCCTCGTTTGTAAAATAAAAGATAATAACAGTACTTCAGAAAGTAGTTATGCGAGTAAATGCAACATTTTTCGTGACGGGTTTGTGGCCAGTATGTAGAGTGTTTGCTTAGCATGACCGTGACCTTGAATTCGACCTCTTACGTCGCCAAAAAAGAAACCCACTCACTTTTATATAACTAGAGGCATCGCTGCCTTGGAAGGTAGTGTTAAGATGACTCTGCCGAGAAGACGGGTTATCGTAGTAGAACTTTAAATACAACCACTTTTCAGTGAAAACATTTGTTTTTGATTTTTTAAAAAAAGATTTATTTATTATGTATACCTGTGCATACCTGCATGCCAGAAGAGGACACCAGATCTCATTATAGATGGTTGTGAGCCACCATGAGGTTGCTGGGAATTGAACTCTAGCCCTCTGGGAGAGCAACCAGTGCGCTTCACCTCTGAGCCATGTATCTCTCCAGCCCCTGTTTTTGACTTTTTGTTTATTTCTGCTTTGTGTGTGGGTGATTCCAAGACAGGATTTCTCTGTGTAACAGAATCTTGGAACTCTCTTTGTAGACCAGGCTGACTTTAAACTGACAGAGATCCACCTGCCTCTGTCTCCCAAGTGCTGGGATTAAAGGTGTTTACCATAACTGCCCAGTTTGACAGATCATTTTGTGGGTTTTTGTTTTTGTTGTTTATTTGAGACAAGGCCTTGGCTAGCTTAGGCTTGCCTGGAACTTAACTCTGTACTCTAGGCTGCTCTCAATTTTTGGGTGATCTCCCCATTGCTAGGTTTTACTGATACAAACCACCACAATTGACTTGATAGATCATTTTAAGTGGAAGAAAGTCAGGAAAGAGATAAAGGAAATAGTATTTAAGATAAATTTTGCGTATAGATACAGAATAGTCTTGAAAAGTGAATTTACTAGAGTTGCAGAAGGAGATATACATCAGATTCCAGGAAGCTCATGATCAAAAGCATAGAATGAAGAACATTATGTGTGTCTGGCATGGTGTATAGGCTTTTAATCTCAGGTCTCAGGAGGCAGAGGCAGGCAGATCTCTATGCATTTTAGACCAGCCTGATTTACATAGTTCCAGGCCAGCCAAAGCTGCATAGTGAGATCCTGTCTTAAGAACAAACCAAAAAGAACATTTTGTAGAAATATAATTTGTTTAGAGAAGGAGATAGAAATATGTCAGGAGAGAGGTTTGACTCTTAAATAGACAGTTCTGAATTATAGGCTTGCTTTATTTATTTATTTATGTTTGAGGCTGATCAATTTACAAGTCTTTGTTTTCTCTTGAGACAGGAATATCTATCATCATGTAACTCTGGTTGTCCTGGAACTTAGGCTAGATAGGAAAGTCAAGAAAAGGAGTGGCCTATCCTTTCTTTTAAAATCATTAGACAGGGCCAGGAGAGATGCTTCAGTGCTTGGGAGCGCTGCCTGCTCTTCCCAGGGACCTGGGTTGGCTTCCCAGCAGCCACATGACAACTCAGAATTGTCTGACCTCCTGGGGCACCAGGCATACACCTACCTAGTGCACAGACATACATGCAGGCAAAACAGCCATACACATAAAATAGAATAAAATAGATATATTTGAAAAAAATTACTAGAACAGCTTACATACATACATACATACATACATATATATATGTCAGCAGGTTAAGGTGCTTGCTGCTAGTCCTGACTAGCTGAACTTGACCCTGGTAGCTGAGTCGTGGAGGAAGAAAGCTTACTCCTTAGGTTGTCCTCCAGCCTACAGACATAGACGCACATACACAACACCTTGGCCTTTAATCTTAATTGGGAGGCAGAGACAGGCAGATCCCTTGAATTTGAGGCCAGCCTGGTCCACAGAGAGAGTTCCAGCACAGCCAGGGCTACATAGCTAGATCCTCTGTTTCTTTCTTTCTTTCTTTTTTTAAATTTATTTTTATTTTATGTTCATTGGTGTTTTGTCTACAGGTGTGTCTGTGTTAGGGTGTCAGGTCCCCTGGAACTGAAGTTACAGACAGGTGTGAGCTGCCATGTCGGTGCTGGGAATTGAACCCAGGTCCTCTGGAAGAGCAGTCAATGCTCTTAACCACTGAACTATCTCTTCAACCCTAGCTAGATCCTTTCTCAAATCAACAAAATGAAAACAAAACAAAACAAAAATCCCACAAGGGTAAGACAGCTCAGTCGGCAAAGTACCTGCCTTCCAAGCAGGAAGCCCAGGGGTTAGATCTTCAGCACTTGTGAAAAAGCCTTTCACAGCTGTTTATAATAGTAACCCTAGTGCTGGTCGACTGTGAAGAAGTGAGAGGGAAGGAGGGAGGGAAGCATTGGCGAATGTGCTTTTCTGAGAAAGGCGGATCCCTGAAACTTATTGGCTGGCCAGCCTATGTTGAAAGACCTTGTTTCAAATAATAATGATGATGATGATGATATAATAAGGCAGAGGCTAGGAAGTTGATTCAGTAGTTAAGATCCCATGTTAATTTGTAGAAGACCTCAGTTTGTTTCCCCACACCTATATGGTGACTTACAGCCATCTATTAACTCTAGTTCCAAGATATGTGATACCCTTTTCTGACCTCTTCTGGCACCAAGCACCCATGTGTTGCACATACATATATACATACACACATACAGAAATACGCTCATACACATAAAAATAATATAAATCTTATAAAAGTTTTTAGAGCTGAAGAGATGGCTCAGTGGTTAAGAGCACTGACTGTTCTCCCAGAGGACCTGGGTTCAATTCCAGGCACCTACATGACAGCTTACAACTGTCTATAACTCCAGTTCCAGGGGACCTGACACCCATGGCAAAACACCAATGTACATAAAAGAAAAATAAATAAAAAGATAAATATTTGAAAAAAGTTTTTTTTCTTTAATTACAAGTTGGAGAAGCAGTTAATATACCTAGTGTTGGTCTAAATACTACATTCCCTTCAGGAGTCAAATATGGTAATGTTGAGGAGGGAAGCAAGCTATATACCGTGTGCGTGTGCGTGTGTGTGTGTGTGTGTGTGTGTTTTTAAACTCTTCCTGGCCCTCATTATCAATTTTGTGTATTTGATAGGTGCAAATAAGACAGAATGAACTTTACTCCGACACACACACCCGTCTGCAGAAAGTAAGATATTTGCTTGTTTTTAAGTTAACTAATCAATACTTCTACAGGTTTTATCCAGTCAGTGTAGGAGCTCCAGGGATATCATACTTCCTAAACCTCAGTTCTCTATTCTTTTTTGATTTGTTTTGTTTTTTTGAGACAGGGTTTCTCTGTGTAGCTTTGGAGTCTGTCCTGGAACTAACTCTCTCTGTAGACCAGGCTGGCCTTGAACTCTGCCTCCTGAGTGCTGAAATTAAAGGCTTGCACCACCACCGCCAGGCTTAATTCTCTATTTTTTTTTCTCTACATAAAGTGTAAATCCCATTTTATTTTTCCAAGGTGTTTTCTTCTGTCTTTATGAAGCCATGTCTTCACATGGGCTTTAGTGGAGGTCGTGGTGCAGCACCAGCAGGTCTAAATCGTGGTGGGGGTGTTTGGTTCTTGCGAGCTTCCCGAGATCGATTTCTGACTACCTTGCTATGAACAGCACAGCTCACACAGCAATGCAGCTTGACATAGAGTTTGGGGAGCACATAAGCGTCAAAGACACTTGCTTCAGATATGTCCCTGATGGCAGCAGCCTCTATGATGTTCCTAATGACGAACTTCTTACCTTGTCCTTGGGCACACACCGGGTGAGCGCAGTTAGTGCAGCGAATTAGTTGCACATGGCCGCTGCCCTTTTTGGCACGACCGTTGTTTCTCCTCTTTTTGGTCATCTTGGAGCCAAGTCCCTACTAGTTCTCTATTCTTATTCTGAATCTAGAGTTTAAATAGTTTAACAATGGTGGTGACACACAGCTTTAATCCCAGGAGGCAGAGGATGGTGGGTCTCTTGAGCTTGAGACCAGCCTGGTCAGCATATTGAGTTCCAGGACAGCAAGAGCTACTTAGAGAGACCCCGTCTCAATCAGAACAAAAAACTAGCCTCTCTGTGGAAATGCCAGGACTCATTGAGTGTGAATGGAGGAGCCACAGTGATGGTAGATCTGGGTCATAGGGAGCAGCCATTATATAAACCAGAGATGGAGCTGCTACTTAGTACTTGTTCCTCACCCCCATAGCTGTCCCCCATCTGTAGAAGGTAAGAGTTGTTCTTTTTTTAAATTTATTTTAATTTTATGTGCATTGGTGTTTTGCTTGCATATATGTTTGAGGGTGTTGGATCCTTTGAAACGGGAGTTACACAATTGTGTAATGCCATGTAGGTACTGGGAATTGAACCTGGGTCCCATGGAAAAGCAGCCAGTTCTCCCAACTGCTGAGCCATCTCTCCAGTCCAAGTTGCTCAAATTTTTATTAGCCTCTGTCCCACTCTTTGAAAATAAAATAGTGTTTCTGTCATGAGACAGAAGCACTTTTGTGTAGGATGATAGGGATGTGTGCCCTGGGGTGTTGGCCTTGTGTGTGCCATGCATGCACTTTGCTGCTAGCTACAGGTCCAGCCACTAAAAACTTTTGGTGTTTGAGGAAGTATTAGATTTATTTCTTCATGCTAATTGAAAATAGTTGTGTGTGTGTGTATGCTGAGGATTTAAACCAGCAATTTGTCACGTGCTCTGCTGCTGAGCTACACCCCCAGCTGATGGTTTATTGTGCATACTTGCCTACTTACAAATGAACATGTGTGTTATCTACATTAGTTAGCTCTAACTTGGGCTGTCTTATGCAAAGTTTCTGCACTCTGATGTCTATTTTGTTATATTAAAATTTTTTTGTGTATAGCTATTTTGCCTACATGTGTATCAGTGCACCTTTTGCACAAGGTTTTAGATCCCTTAGAACTGGAGTTGCAGGTGTTTATGGGCTGCCATGTGGGTACTGGGATTTGAACCTGGGTCCTCTGGAAGAGCAGCCAGTGCTCTTAACTGCTGAGTCTTTTATCCAGCTCCATATATTGTAAATTTTAGAATGCCAAACTAGATTGGTTTTCATAGGAAGATTTCTACACAGTTTCTTTTTTGAATTAACTATTGTTTGTTTGCTTGGTTCTTTTTATGGGAGAGGTGCTTGTTTATTGACTTTTCCTTTTAGACAGAGTCACATTATGTGGCTCTGGCTGGCCTAGAACTTGCTACGTTGATCAGGTTACAAGTGTTATATTTACAAGAGGATTTATTCTATGCTTTCTGATTTCACATAGAATAACAATTGCATCCAAACGTGGTGCTGCTTCTGGCTTCAGTGATCCCCATAGGTGGAAGAAAATGGCAGACTCAGTGGAGTCAACTCCGCTCCCTTCAATCGAGGATCGTCTGGCCGTCCTTTGCCCTTCGCAGGAGCTTCTGGAGTATTATCAGAAGAAGATGGCCAACTGTGAGGCAGAAAATGAAGAGCTGTTGAAGAAGTTAGACCTCTACAGAGAAGCTTGTGAAGGACAGGTAAGAAGGTGGGGAGGAAAATTCCCACACAGGAGGATCCTGATCCTGGAACTCACTGACCAAGCTTTGCTGAATTGCTGAGCTCACAGTTTAATGAGAGATCCTGTCTCAAATAATAACTTGGTGGCCTGATGGAAAAGGCACCCAACAACTTCTGGGTTGCATATGTACCGATGCACACACACACTCATGGAGAACCGGTGAGACATATGAAATTCTTCGTGCTGGTGTGTGAAAGGAAGGCTTTGTCATCAGTGTGTGATCTCCAGTCACACTAATCCTGTAGCTTTATCCCTACCTCTTTCCTGTTTGCCCTTCCTCCTTTCTTCCTTTCAGTGCTAGAGCCTAGGGCTTCCTGCCTGCTTTTCACCGGGCTGAACTTCCATTTCATTCTTTTGCTCTTTAGGTCAAATGTGTGCACAGCCTAGTGCTGCCACTTGAGTCTGTGCTGGTAAAGCTGTCAGGAATATTCCTACATAAACTGACTCCTCCATAGCCGCTGAGGCTTCCTTTGAAACCCAATATCTTTTCAACTACTCTGTTGGGTTTTTTTGCAGCATAAACTTGAATGGAATTTGCAGCAGAGGGAGGAAGAGATTGCCGAGTTGCAGAAAGCCCTGAGCGATATGCAGGTTTGCCTCTTCCAGGAGCGGGAACATGTTTTACGACTCTACTCAGAAAATGACCGACTAAGAATCAGGTACTGAACAGAAGGAGGAAAGTGTCAGAATTTTAACTCTGGGTTACACTTAAAATGATGACATCTATCTACCAGAGTTCTCTTTGGTTATGTCCCCAGGAAGCAAACTTTGAGGAGAGATTTACCTGAAAGGCAGTTACTAGGAGGGGTTCTTAGAAAAGACAGCAGTGGGCACATTAGAACTGTGATAGGGTGGTTACAGAGGCCAGCCCCACGGGAAGCTCCAGGACTCAGCTGGTCCTTCAAAGGCAGCGGATTCAGACTTCTGTATCTTGGTATTGACCAGTTGTTGAGTACAGACTGCCCTCATGAAGAAGTCATAAACTTTGGAGAGAAAGCTTTTATCCAATCATAATTCCTTTAAAATAACTTTATTTTCTTTATTATTGTGTATGTGTACCTGATATTTGGGTATAGAGTTCATAATGCAACAGAGCTTGGTGCCGAGGTCAGAGGACAGCTTTGGGCACTTGGTTTTCTCCTGCATGGAAGTGCCTTTATCTCACTGAGCCAACTCACCAGCCCACAGTGATTCTTCTTTTTTTTTTTTTTTTTTAAGATTATTTATTTAGTATGTATACAGTGTTTTGCTTGTATACCAGAAGAGGGCACCAGATCTAATTACAGATAGTTGTGAGCCACTATGTGGTTGCTGGGAATTGAACTCAGGACCTTTGGAAGAGCAGCCAGTGCTCTTAACCTCTGAGCCATCTCTCCAGCACCCCCTCCCAAGTGATTCTTGAAGAAGACATTAGTTAATGGGAGATGGGTATCATGAACAGATAGATACATTTGTGCAAGGTATTTCTGGAGGGGGAGGGAGACTTACTTTTTTTTAATATTGTTATTTATTTGGCTTATTTGGGGTTGTTATATGTTTTGTTTTAATAATGGGACTTGAACCTGGGGCCTCACACATTCTAGACAGGTATTCTACTGCTGAGTTTATACCCCCTGGTAGCCCTTTTTATTTATTTATTTATTTAGTAATTTTCATTTTATTTGCATTGGTGCTTTGCCTACATATATCTGTGTGAGGGTGTCAGATCTTGGAGTTACAGTCATAAGTTTCCATGTGGGTACTAGGAATTGAACCCTGGTCCTCTGGAAGAGCATTCAGTGCTCTTAACCACTGAGTCATCTCTCCATTCCACTCCTAAATCAGACAGACTCTCAACTTGGAATCCTCCTGCCTTATTCTTCAGAATAGCTAGAATGATATGCTTGCCTCACTCAGCCTAGCCCATTTTAACTATTTGTAAGTGTTTTAATAGACATAAGTACATTCACATTGTTGGGCGACCTCTGGAACCTTCCTGTATGCGACATTGAAACTCTTGACCATTCACCAGTACCCTCTGCGTTTTTCTCCCAGGCCCTGGCAACCACCAATCTAACTACTTTATTATTACTTTTTTTAACTTTTAGTTTTTGATGTTTCAAGATAGTGTTTCCCTGTGTACTCCTGGCTGCCCAGGAACACACACTGTCAAAATCCGCCTTCCTCTGCCTCCCCAGTGCTGGAATTAAAGATGTACTCCACCACCATCCAGCTTAAATTTTTTTTTTTATTCACGTGTATGGTGGTTTTGCCTGCCTGTATATCTGTACACCACTTGCTTTTGTGGTGCCTTCAGAGGCCAAAAGAGGGCTTCAGATCCGGTAGAACTCAAGTTACATGTAGGTGCTAAGAACCGAACCTGGATCATCTGGAAGAGCAGCTAGTGCTCTTAACCTGTGTCCGGCCCTTTAATTATGTTCTTTCCAGACAGCATCTAGGCTAGCCGTAAACTTACTTACGTAGCTTTGATTTCCTGGATCATTTGGTAATTCTATTTTTAACTGGTAACTGCTCTGCTTCTTTATATGATGGCTTCACCACTTTACATGGCTTTCTTGTTGTTGTTGTTGTTTTTCCAAAGATTTAGTTTTAATTTGTGTGTGTGTGTGTGTGCGCGCGCACGCGTGTGTGTGTGTGTGTGTGCGTGCGTCTGCTTACAGGTGTCTTGCAGGCCAGAAGAAGGAGTCAGATCCTTTCAGTTACAGGTGGTTGTGAGCTACTTGATATTGTAGGAAACTGAACTCTGGTCCTATGCAAGAGCACAAACACTTAATCGTTTAGCCATTTCTCTTTCTTTTTACTTTGTTTTTGTTTTTTTGAGGGTTTTTTGTTGTTGTTGTTGTTGTTTGGTTTTGGTAGTGGTCTTAATGGATGTGAGACTATTTTTATTCTGATTTTTTGATTTCCATTGTCTTTGGTTTTTTTTTTTTTTTTTTTTTGAGAAGGTTTCTCTATGTAGTCCTGGCTGTCCTGAACTCACTCTGTAGACCAGGCTGGCCTCTAACTCAGAGATCTGCCTGTCTCTGCTTCCAGAGTGCTGGGCTTAAAGGTATCACCACCACTCCAGGCTTGAGCAACTTTTCATCTGTTTGTTAGCCAACTGTACGTCAAGTTCCTTGCTATCTGTTCTTTTGTTGTTGTTTTGGTAATTTTGTTTGTTTGTTGAAACAGGATCACCTAGCATGGTGGCTGACCCTTTTAAACTGCCCTCCTCCCCCCACACACACTAGGGAGGGGATCTCTGAGGCCAGCCTGGTCTGCATAGTGAGTTCTAGGACAGCCACAGCTACACAGAGA